TTGATCAAAAAATGCATTTTTTTTCTTTTGGTACAAGATAAAAATGTCCAAAAAGGGCGTCTGACAAATCTTATTGATTTTTGGATCAATCAGTAATCTTGAAATCAAATCTTAATAAAGACATGCTTCAACAAGCTTGGCAACAATTCAAAACATGTGTCAATATGAAATACTCAAGATTCTTGTGATTTATATATATGAGGAGTGGACTTGAGGCACCTTCTAAATAATGACACTATTCTTAAAATGAATCCACAATTGCAAGGAGTTCTTTGTTGTAGATCTCATAATTAATCTTGATTGCTAAAAAATTCTAAAATAAAAAATTATTAGATAGAGTTTGTCATTTGCTCTTATTTCTGATAATACTACATTCAAAGCAAAGTCTGATGCATCTATTTTTATAAAAAATGCCTTCAAGAAATTAATACAATATAAAATTGGTACAAAAGTAAATTCTTTTTTTAAAGCATCAAATGATGCTTTGGCTTCTTTATACTACTCAAGTTTGTCTTTACAAGTCAAACGTATAAGTGGAGCTACAACTTGAGAAAAAAATCTTAATAAAGATCTAATAATAATTGATAAAGCTTAAAAAGCTATTATGGACATACATATGTAAACCAATAATTACTTATATGATTTAGATAATAATAAATAAAAGAATGTCAATTCCATAATATCTTCTATAAAAGCTTCCTAGAAGCTTGATAGATGTTGTTTTGACTTTATAGGTATCTTTAATTGACTTTTTAGGTTAAAAACGTGGTCAACAAGTTGGCCATGTGCCACACATGTTTGTAGCTTGAAGAACAAGCTAATTATGTAACTCACATGTAAAAAACTTGCCTTATAAGCTAAGACATGTGTCATGCAAAGTCAACATATATTAGAGGTCTTATAGAACATCGCCACGTAGCTCCTAATTAGATAGTATATATAGAGGCAAGACTAAAGCACTCTTCACTCTTGTCAATTCCTTTCTTGCTTTTAGTCCACTTTCACGAGTCTCAAGTTTTTTTGTCTTTTGAAAATAAGCCATTTTAGTTTCTTTTTAATATTCATACTTACTTATTTCTATTTTTGTTATTTTTTTTTTTTGACACAAATTTCATTGGTTTATGCATCATCTTCAAATTCAAGTCCTTAACAAAAATATTGTACATTTCTTATTATTCTTAAAATCTTCTAATCTATGATAGTTTGGATATTTTTTGGATCCATCATTAGTCCTTTATTGGAAATGATATATCGTAGAAAGTCAACTTGAGTAGTGTGGAATATACACTTTTTTTAACTTGGCATAAATAATCCTATATCTCTAAATTTTTATAATACACTACGAACATAAATTGCATATTTTTCTATGTTTTTAAAATAGATTAAGATGTCCAAATAATAGACATCAAAATCATCAAAGAACTCACAAAAGATACCATTCATTAGATGTTGAAAAGGAGTTGATGTATTTGTGAATTCCAAAGGCATGACATTATATTCAAAATGTCCATACCTAGTTTGGAAAGCAATTTTCCATTCATCTCCTTTTTTAATGCATATTAGATTATATATTCTTTCTTGATCTATTTTTGTATAAATCTTTGCTTGATTGAGTTGATTAAGAAGTCTTGAAATCAATGGTAGAAGATACCTATTCTTAATGGTGATCTTATTGAGTCCTCAATAGTTCATACATTAGAAATAGGTGTGGCATATATAACAAGAAATAATCCTTCTTTTGAGGCAAGCAAAAAGCTCTTACATCTACTAGTAAGGATTTGGATATATTAGACTTATGTATTTCTACTTGATTAACAAGATTTTAGATTAAATTATTAAAAAAATTAAGGTTATAAAAAATCTAATCTATCTAAAGATTATATTTTTTTAATCAAGATAATCCTAAAATAATTAGATTGGATGGAGATCTTATTACATTAAATATTACTCTGCTATTATGATCTTTAATAGCTATATCTAAAGGAATAATCTCATGCATAATATCTCCAGAAGATAGTGAATGACTATTTATGATTTCTACATATATAGATATGGCTTCTATATATACAATGGCCTTGATGAATAAGTTTTTGAAAACTTGGAAGTTGCCGTCATTATTTGAGTTATTTCTCTCTAGCCAAGTCTTTGTTCTTGATATCTTTTAAATAATTGATTGTTATATGTAATAGCTTGACCAATAAATTATTCCAAAGATTTTGTCTCTGGTATTGTCAATAACAAATCTTTGATATTATCTTTCAATCCATATCAAAATTGTTTGATAAGAGCTTTGTGATTTTAGTCTACATTGTAAGCCATGTTTTGGAATTTAGCAACATATATAGTGGCTAACTATGATCTTTATTATAAAGATAATAGCTTGATCTCTATTATTTTTTTTCAATGATTTTTTTTGAATGTGGTCGTAAATACTTCTAAGAATGAATTCAAATCATAAAAGAATCATAAATCTTTTTGTATTAAACGTGCAAACTCAGAGAAAATACTTCCTGATAGAAGTATGTCTATAAATCCAACTTGAATAAATCTAACAAGGTATTAGAAGGGATACAATCTTAGATAGAGCTTTATTTATTATAAAAATCTTCAAAATTTTGATCTTGTTTCATCAAACTTCTTAGATATTCTAATCTTTATCCTTGTCATATGTATAGAAGCAAAACTTCCTAGATTTGGTTGTAAGGTCAATCTACTTGCTTTCTTCAACTGCTTAACTTCTTGTTGCAAACTTTGAACTTCTTTCATAGATATAGGAATAATACCTCTATGATTCAAGTTAGAAATAGATGAGATTTCTAGTCTTAGAGTATTAACAAGCTCATGAAGATTTGTAATAGTTACAAATTTATTCTCACTTCTGCTAAGAGTAGCATCTATAATCTTTCTTTCTATATACAACTCAAAAAAATTCAAAATGTTAAATTAGAGGAGGGTAATCTACAACCTTTAATATCAATGAAAATTTCTATGAAGAGAGATAATCCACTTTCTTTTAAGAAAATATTAATGTTAGAAAAAAAGTTTGTTTTTTTAAAGGTGGGTAGTCTAGAACCTTCAAAACACAAGAATAGAAGTGAGGTAATCTACTCACTTTTGAAATAAGATAAAAAATAATAAATTAGAATTCTTATCAAATTATCAAGGATATGAATCTCAAAGAAAGAAATCTTCAATACATTCTTATATTACTAAAAAAGAATTAGAAAGTCACTCAAAGTTAATATATAATATTAAATTAGAATAGCTATTGTCAAAAACAACTACACTAGAAAGTCTTAAAAAAAGACTAAGGACTAGAAAAGCATTGACAAGAGTAAAGAAGACTTCACTCTTGCCTCCATATATACTCTTAACTAAGAGCTGGGTAGCAATATCCTTTAGGACCTTCAAAATTTTTTGACTTTGCAAGACACATATCTTAACTTGCAAGACAAGTTTTTCATATGTACGCTACATGATTAGCTTATTTTGTAAGCTATCAACATGTGGTTAACTTGCTGATCAAGTTTCTAACCTATCAATCAACTATAAACATACTTAAAGTCAAAGCAACATCTATAAAGCTTCTAGAAAGCTTCTTTAGAAGGTATTATAAAATTAATCTATTTTTATTTATTTTTATCTACTTCTATCTAATCATATAGGTATTCATTAGAATATGTATATATATCCTTGACATAAGATAGAGATTGAGTCAACTAGTGGTTTGATAAATAAGAAGGCTATTGATAGGATGTCAATCTCTACTTTACCATAAAAGCCAATTGCATATGAAATGAAAATATATTTTCATTGAAATGGTGTTGCTTGAAAACATATATAGAATGATGGTAAGTAGTAATCAGTTGACTATGCTTGCTAGCTAGCAGAGTAGTTTCATTGATAAGACCCAAGTCTTATTGTCCCATAATTAAGAACTATATAGCTATCAAGTTAAGTTTACTTGATTTAGATACAAAATAATTCTCTACCGTTAAAGCCTGATTTGAATTTCCATCATTCACAGATAATATGTAACTATTAGTTCCATACTTTGAGAAGTCTATTGTATAGTGGATGTTTTGCTGGCTTTTATATCCTTCAACTTTAGTTTATTGAATCTATAGAAGGAACTATGGTAAAAGTTTTTTTTTAGGATGGTGATAATTGTGTTTTTAATTCCTCTATTCAATCATTGTTTATATTTATGGATTGTACAAAAAAAATATTTGATTACAAAATTTCTTCTTTGGTCTATATATACTAAAAAAGCATTGTTTGAAAATATCCTTGATGAATTCAATACATCAATCATAAATTGATATTTGTACTATTAAATTTTTAACTAAAACAACCTACTTTCTCATTCTCACAAAGAGATTGAAACTTCTATAGCAGTTTTGCAAAAGATTTTGATATTGGATTATTTGAATTGATAAAATAAAATGTATCAAACATTAGGTTTTAGACAAAGAATACAATTAAAATAAGAAGACTTTCTATGATTCTATATCATCAATAATTTTATCTTCAAATGAATTTAGAAATCATGTTAAATTGTATTAGAATACGTGAATTAGTGAAAAATTATTGTATTATTAATGGAAAGTACAGCAACTTTTGAGAACCAATATTTACTCTAAATAGTTATAAACAATAACTGTTAAGAACTGAATATGTGTTGAATTCTATGCCCTAAGAATATGATTTTCCACATCTTGAGAACAGCAAAATATATATATATATATATATATATGCATTGTCTTTTGATTAATAATAATTTTCTGTATAGATTTTTTTTTTCAATCTCTTTGAGAGAATGAGAGAGTAAGTCTCAATCTCTTCCGTTTAAAATAAAACAGTACAACATCTACGACGTAAAGAAATAACTTAAACTTTTATTGGGTTTTTAGTGTAGGTACCGTAAGTGCTTCAGGTACTTCAGATTTGAGTGAGTGAGCGAGCTGCTCACGTTCGGAGCTACGATTGATCCCCAAGGATCACAAGGACCCCGAGGATAACCCAGTGAAGGATCATGACAGTGCTTGCCATGGTGTTCCAAAAGCGTTGACAAGAGCAGGTTGGAGTCTGATCGATGACACGACCTAGCCCTATCGAGAGTCCACCAAATGGCGAGATGGGTGCTGTCGTAGTGCCCCACTAGTCGCCGAAGTTGCGGTGTTGCAGGAGCAGATCCGCAGGGGAGTCTCCAGCCTCGGGCTCAAGTTGATCACTTGGCGCATATGGTGAAGGCAAATTTGGAGGAATCAAGATGATAATACTAGGTTTGCGCATACTTAGGCTTGGGCGTTCAGTCGGTGTTCAGAAAGGGCTTCGGATCGACAGAATGTCGTGCGGTCAATGTCCTGATTGATCATCATCTGTCGCCAGGATTTGGTCTTGTGCCTCGGCTTTCCAGTGCTACGCCTAGAGCACTCCAATATCCCTGATGCTCGACTCTGATTGCTTCAATCTGTCATACAACCTATTGCATTCTGGACTCGAGCGGTTGTAACGTGTTTTGCTCCACCCCGACGGAGGATGTTACAATTCGCACAGGTTGATCGAATGCGACGGCCTGTGGATTTCAAGTGCAATTCCCTGGAGCGGCTTTAGTTAGACCTTCATGTATGCTCAGGAGGCCGTGCAGTTCTTAGGATTAGGAGAGCCCAGAATGGTTAAAAAATTAATGCAAGCCGAGCCTGAGGATACGAACTATCTCTTAAACCCTTTCCTCAAGTCTCACAATGTAAGAATCTTGGGTAGCGGAGACGAGTGGCTGGTGTTCGGGCACGGCTTCGGTAGTGATCAATCCGTCTGGCAGCTAATCGTTCCTCACTTCGCAAAGAGCTACAAGATTCTTCTCTTTGACTTGATGGGCGCTGGGTCCACCAATCCTCACAGCTTCACCTTCTCTCGTTACAACACTCTCTACGCCCACGCGGACGACTTACTGACGATTCTCGATGAGTTGGGCATCGACAGCTGCACATACATTGGGCATTCCATGTCTGGCATGATAGGATGCATAGCGTCAATTGAGAGGCCGTCCGTCTTCAAGAAGCTCGTTCTCATAGCGACTTCACCGAGGTATGATTTCTGACGAGCTCTGCCATCGTTTTTCCCTCACACTATCCTTTCAGAATGGAAACCTGAGCTTTCAACTACTGGTTCGCAGGTACAGTAACGACGGAGATTACATCGGAGGGTTTGAGATGGAGGAGCTTCATGAGCTGTTCGCCGCCATGCGGTCAAATTTCATAGCCTGGATTACTGGATTCTCACCCAAGGCCGTGGGATCCGATATCCAGAGCTGGCCAGTTCAAGAGTTCAGCCGCACACTCTTTAATATGCGACCAGATATTGCCCTTAGTATCTGCAAGACATGCTTCGCAAGCGACCTCCGCCCTCTCATTCCACAGGTTGGATCCACTATTTATCACCCCAATTCTTGTACAATTACCAGTTTGTTCTCATCCATCGTGTAATTGTCTTTAATTTCTTGTCGGTTTGGTACAAGTGACGATTCCATGCTATCTAGTGCAAAGTGGAGTTGATGCATCCCTGTCCATCAAAGTGGTGAAGTATATGGCTGCTAACCTCGGCGGCATGTCGCATGTCGACATTCTGCAAGACATCCAAGGTCACTTGCCTCATCTTGCCCACCCTGAAGCGGTGATCGCTATGCTTCAACGTGCGTTTCAATGGAGTGGGTGATGCTGCAAGTGAATCCTCACTTCTCCATACTGTGGACGATGTAGCAGTCATCACCGACCAACAGGTCTTAACTTAGCATCGGAAACCGAAAAAAACGATCTGCAGTTCACGTTCTCTAAACACTTCCGTTTGGTGTCGTGTATTATTTTTGTGGAACAAGATCTGTGTCCCCCTAAACTACTTCGCTGACAGTGATCAGCGTTCAGGATGTGAAACTGGTTTTATCTCTGGAATGATGGATGCTTTCACAGAAGAGTCTTGTACAGGAACGCATCGTTCTATCCGCCTCACTCCCTGCATTCTTACTCTTCGCTTTCGTTTTTGTAAATTCGGCAACACTTTGAATCTTGACATATTGGAAAATTTGACAACCTTTTGTGTGCGAGTTGGTCAAGTGGCACTGGACTCACATCCCCATAAGAATGATCAACAAGTATGAACTCATATTTTAATGGAATATGCGAGCGTCGAGGAATTGAAGCATTCTCGCTTATTGTCATGTCTGTTCTCACGACAACAATGAGGTTTTGAGAAAGAAGTTATTTTGAACAAATAGTGGCAAGCAAGAGTGTATCTTCTAACACTGTCTGATGTACAAAGATGATTATCCACAGAATGTATGCTCTCACGGTAAACATGTGCATGGAATGCCCGAATAATGGATAATGCACAGGAAGTGGTATGTTTCTGACAAGGATCGTTATTCCTAGCATTCATGAACAGATTCCTTTTTTAGGAATTTGTTTGCAATAGCCTCAAATAAGGTTGTATTATCTTTCATAA